TCCCTCCCTCTCCTGTCTGTCTCTTTGTACTTCGTCTTTGTCTGGGATGTGAATGTCCAGAAAGGGTGAAAGGACCTTCGGCTATGTGAGCACTCTCTGAGTCATACCACAACAAAAACACAAGGAATGCACGGTGTCGACTGAGGCTCATATTCAGCTGTTTCCCATTCTTGACTTTTTAGCTGCATTATAATAATTAGCTTTGTTAAAACATTCACGACAATAGACATCAGCTGCTCACCCATGCATTAACCCTTCTATTACATGATATAACTTTATAAAAATAAATATAGAGAAAAATCCTCTCAGTTTTGAAATAGGTGGCAGCTAAAATGTATGAACCACAATTATTTAAAATCACAAATGTGCTGTGAAATTGCTCAGTAAATGTATTGCTTGCTCGTGTTGTTGAGCTATTGCATGCTTGCACTATCACAGGCTACTGCATGCTAGCACTATGGTCCATAAAGTTATTACCATCCATGCAGACAGTCAGATCTCATAGTTTCATAAGCACTTGTGGCGTGCAGTGCAATTCTTTCTCTTCCATGAGAATTCATCTTTCACTCTGTGCACCAGTCATTTGGAATCCGTTGAGTGACTTTCATACTTGTATTCATGCATCCCTAAAAGTCTGAGCAATAAACAAGCTGTTTGAGAATCCATGTTACAAATGCAAGTACATGTTAGCCCACTGTTATGCTTCTCGATTAATTTCGAAGGCTGACGACAGCTGGAGGACAATAAGCACAATTTTGAATTTCCAATTTTCCAAACAATAAAGATGATGCTGAATCGGTGACTCCTCTCAATCAGCATGTGATGGGGAGATCTGCCTCAGTGACCTGATGGTTGCCGGGGGACACTTCAGTTTGTGCTGATGGTGTTAAAAGATGAAACAGTGTCTGATAGATAATATGAGTACGAGTGTTCATCAAGGCACAAAACATTCGAAGTAGAAAACATTCACAAGTAGACGTTGAGCTGTCTCGACAGCCTGAAGGAAGGAGGTACAGTCTTTCACGGTAGCGTATCCGTCCAACACACACAGACACATATGTATTTAAAGGTATTTCATGCCGTTTTGAAAGGGCCGGTGTCACAGTAATAATCCATTCATATTGTAAAAACTCATTATTAGAGGGAAGAAACCTGGAGTAGGAACCAGGCTCAGGTTGGGCAGCCATCTGCCTCAACTGGTTTAGAGAGAAAAAGAGGACAAGTGCAGTGACACAGGCCATCTATTGTAGAGAAACCATGCGTCAAAATAGAAGGTCCACTTCACTGTTTATCCCCTCCACTTACAATACAGACCTTTCATCACCTCCCTGGGTATTTAACGACTATTCATACGAACACCAATGGCCCATTACACTTGCACCATAGGAATGTGAAACTGTAGCATTTCTATATTGTTTCCTTGACTTCTTTTCTTCCAACTCTTTCTGTGACCTGCCATTAGCCAGTCTCTGCGTAGGTGGACTTGGTGCACAGCTGATTCCTCTGCAGCTGAGCCAGCAGCTTTTATCAATGCAGCAGCTTCTTCTTCATCATCAGACGAGTATGACTCATGTTTAAAAAGGAAAAAAACAGAGCCTGTGTCATGAGGTATATGGGTTTGTCATCACCATCAGGACACAGCCCCTCATCCTTTAACCACAACTTCAATTTTCTTCGAAAAAAAAAACCTTGACACGTGCCAGTAACTCAACAGATTAATCAACCAGTAAATGCATTTCTCCATTCGTCCAATCTGTCTAACTCCACTGAAACCAAAACACAGTAAGTGACTTCCAGCTGCCGTCTATTTCCTCCGCCAGATGGGTCATTGTGACAGAGCACACATAAACACATCCGAAACACATCAGATTCCTTGTGTTTTACTGCCCTCCGTTGCCAAGTGCTGATACAAGTATTTCTTCAGACACAATACTTTCATGATACTTTCGCCACATCTACTTTAAATAAGCCACGTTAGGGAAAGACACATAAAGTAACTGAAGCCTGCAGACTAAAAATATCAGGATAAGTAACTCTAAGATATCACAAGATAAATGGTAAAAGTTACACAAATTATAGGTAAAGTACTGAAGTGGATATTTCGGATAAGGAAACTGCAGTAATGGAGCTTGGTGGGATATTTACCTTGGTTGTGATGGTGGTTTTGTTAGGAGCGGGTCTTCAGAGAGCAGAGAAATCAGGCTGAATGAGCCAACGTTCACCTAATGAACAGCTGCTGAGGTGCAAATGATCGATACTCTTCAGCTGTAACTAAAGGCAGGTCTGTGCTATTAAAGGCTGCTGTGCCGATTATCTTCCCAGATAAACCTGAAGTGTGAGGGGTTTACAAAATAATCTTAATGCTGCAGATTATCGTGTAATTGGCTCCAACAGAAACCAGCAAAAGCCAATGAGAGCGAGCCGAGATTGTGAGATTTCAAGTCTCTGGACCCGCCACCGTGAAAAGTGTGTGTTCTGTCATCGTGTCATCGGTCAAGAGTTGAAAATCATCTAGTGTGCTGTATTGTTATTTTAGTTGATGCTAGCTCGCTAAATTACTGCAACTGGCAGCCACCAGCAACTTTGTAAGGTGGAAAGTTTTCTTACTATTGCATAAGATGACATTCTGAGCCTCAAATATCAACATGACAAAAATACAAAAATAAATCAACTGCATGTGGGAACACATCAGTGTCTTCTCATCTGTACCTGTTCCTTAAACTAAATGAAAAACTCCCGGTGTGACCTGCATGTAAATGCTGCTCAGGTGCTGAAGCTGTGAAAGCAAACCCCCCCCGGGGAAAGAGACAGACCTTTCATTTGACCTGGATTAAATATTGATGGCCTGTGATAATAGAGAAAAGAGCATGAATTTCTACGTCACAGCACAATGAAAGGGGTCGATTCTTTGTTAGTGAACTTTAAAGAGAGGAATTTATTTATTTATGTTTTTCCCATGGCCTGAGACCAGTCATAAAATGTCCTTTTAGAAATGAAATGTTAATCGATTTCGATGCCTCTGTGTGTTATACTCTCTCTTTAACCCTTTGCTCACACCCAGCATTAGTGAGGTTGTAAAAACACACGGGCCGCTGTGCTGCAGCTGCACTAAAATTTAACCTTCAAATCTAATTAAAACTCCAGACGAGGAGGAAAAAAAAGAAAACGTCCCTCTTGACTGATGCATGATTAGTTGGTCAAATCTGCCAGCAAATTAGTGGAGTGAACCAGACTGAGACACATTTATTTTGCATCCACGCTGCTTGTCAAGACGCTCGGATATTGAATCTGACAGGTTCACAGCAGAGGCAGAAAAAAATGTCGGAGTTATGCATATATGAATAATCTGCAAGTAAATGAGGTTTTAAGGATTTTGCAGGTCAGTGGTTTTGGGTCATTACATGTCCCAGCTTTCAGTTTTACAGATAATATGGTTTTGGGGGAACAGGACTGTAAGTGAGATGTTTTTCTTAATAATAACCATGCATCAAACTTTCATCTGGTAATGTCATAGGTGTGGATGACAGTGAACCTGCTCAGTTTGCTGTAAGCTGCATGATTACACTGACATCTGGTGGAAGGTAGGTGGCTCTGCTGAGTATACCAGCAGCATCAGAGACAATTTATCCTTTTATTCTATCCTTCATCGTCCATGAAGAAGTTTTACACGCCTGTAACGCAAAGATACTAAGAATAGATGATTTGGAATTTCCAGATCCACATATGTTCAGTATAAAAACTTTGTATTATCACATTTTATAATTTAAAAAGTATTTAAAGTATATTCTGAATATACAGAAAGTAAAAAAAAATCACAGAGAAAGTTTCAAGTACTCCTGTTTGGGGTAAATCAGACCCCATCAAGTGTTAAGTGTTAATTATTGATAATCTCTCTTTGGAGATTATTAATGTGTTTCATATTCGTCTCTGCGACATCTTTTCTCTTTGCCTCATCATTACTCATTAATTCACATTGAGGTCTCACACCGTTCTGAGATCTAAACTCATGTTAAACTTTTCAGCAGCTCACTTCTCCCATGCAGCCACTGGGGCCGACCCTCCCGGCTGTGATTGAGCCGGCGGCGAGATTCTCTGCTGAAGGTTACACAACCCTGTGATGAGCGCGGAGGCTGCAGGGAAGGTAATTGGAGGGTTTTCTCCGTTGAGCAGGTTTGATTAAAAGATGTAAAGATGTCAAGCAGACGTGAAACTCTCTGACTCAAAAGAGACAAACCGGACAGGTAATAAATTGAAGGTTTATTATCTTCTCGTTCATGGCATGCACATGTTCATCTGCAAGGACATTTAGTCAAATCTGCTCCTTACAAAAAAAGGGCAGGAAATAAATCCTCACTGTTGATTATGCTTCAACAAACTGCATAAGCAATACACTTCTTTTAAAAAAATATCTAATAAAATCTCATATTATCGTACATCTCTCGAAATTCAACACTGAACTGTAGCAAAATAAAAGTAAAAGAGAAATAAAACCTCCAAAAAACAGATTAAATAAAAAAGCATGTTTCCCTCTTGTCCACTTTCCCGCTGCAGTATTTCTCAAAGTGCCTGTAGACGTCCCTCATTAGAGAGAGGGTCAAATTTAAAAATATAGTGACAACAGTTCATTTTAAAAACACATGAAATATTTTCCTTTTTTTTCCATTTATGTTCCCAAAGGAGAAACAACTACAAAAGAGAGCAAACTCGCCTCATAACAAGAGAAACAGTCTGTTCTAGGCTGCGTTCTAGGCCATGACTTTTATTGCAGTCTGAATATTATGTAATATAAACAATGTTTGCAGTAATAATTCTACAGAAACTGGAACAAAGCTGTAAAGTAAACATTCAGATTTTCAGTCACAAATACTCCTTCTGTACATTTACCGCTGTTAACAACCCTCTTACATTATATAAACAAATTACGTCAAGTAGCAATTTCCTCTTCAGGAACTTCAGTCGCGCTTCTTCTCTGAAGTCTTCTGTCCTTCATTACACCTTCAAGTCCTGTTTACCCCCCCCCCCCCAACCTCGACACAGCCGTCAGACCTCGCCCTGTAACAGCACGTTTCGTCTGTGGAGATCGTTGAGCAGGACGTCGCCTTGGGAGCCGTCGGATATTCCGCTGTCTACAAACACAGACCCTGGGGGAGGGGGGCGGGGACAGTTACAGACGAGTCATATTTTTGAGTGTGCAGTTTTGACAGATTAAACCTACCGCTGCTATTGGTGCCATCGCTGGCGACAGAGGAGGTCCAAGAGGCCGAGTGGGGAACTGAGGTGAAGACCGTGCCCATCGACCTGTTGTTCTGAGTGGCCGTGCGACTCCAATCTGTTGAAAAAAGTATATATGATTACGCCAAGATGCACAACTGAAGTTACGTCCCTAACATCGGCTGGTGGCCGCTGACACCGGCTAACATCTACTGGTAGTTGGTAACTTAAATTGTGCAGACGGGTATTCATCATCTTGTCCTATAGTCTAACATGAAACCAAGCTTTAGTTGGTTTCTTCACTGAAAACAATGCACCCTGACCTAATGTGTTCATGGTTTAAGAAAACGTTTAGTGCCCCACCAGAGTTTTCAGCCAATCGCAGTCTCCCGCAGCAGAGATAAGTCCGCCACTGTCTGCGGACGTTCTCCTTCACAGCACAGTGGAAAACAAAGATAAAGAAACCTGCGCAGAACAAGTAAAAAAAAAAAAAGGTTTGATATCAAGGTTTTGGTAATATGGATAAACTGTTTCCTCTTCTGATGATCTCACCTTGCAGAGAGTTGAATATTGAGAAGAGGTAAACAAAGGGCAGGTAGAGCGGACCCCAGGCGAACAGAGCGAAGCCCCAGGTGAGGCCGAGCAGAACGATGAGGCCGGTGACACTGCGCATGTCCGTCAACGCTCCTCTGTTCGCAGACTGGTTCTGAGGGTTCTGCTTCTTGATCCGAGACAGTTGGACCATGACGACGATGAAGACCAGCAGGCACACGGCGAATATCAGCAGGAAGTACGCCACCACGCCCACGTAGAAGACGATGTCGTTACGCAGCCAACAGCTACAGACGGACAGAAGCAGGAATGGTTAGGAGATAGGAAGTTTTGAAAATTCATCCTTGGTGAAGCACAAATGTAACTTGAAATTTACAACTGCTTGATTGTTAATCTTTCAGGTCCTGTACAGATCCATATAGAACTGTTGATATCTGGCCTGATAAGTTCATGACAATTAATTCTGGTCATAAATCCACTGATATTTAGTGAGAGAAAGAAAAATACACATTAAAACATTTCAGCGCCACAGATAGAGAACAGTTAAGAGAAGAGTGTCTCACCCTCCAGTGGTCAAATACAACAATGACAGGAATAATACAAATATTCTCATATGGTCTGTTTTGTTTTTCTCTTGGACCTGCGAACATCATATGACAGCATTAACCTGCATTTACACAGAGGTAATAAAGATTTAAATGTAACTTACAAGTCGTCTGTGGTGCCATCTGTGTATTTTCCATATGTAACCAGACCGTAGTTGTCTTTGTCTACTGCTATTATGATGATCACCACGATGAGAGGAATACCTGCAACACAATACATCCATAAAACAGTTATAGAAGAATTATGCTTAAAAAACACATTTTAACCATGACTATACATCCAAGTAATAACATTTAGGCGGTGAGGTTTAAAGTACAGGACGCACCCCAGCCTATCAGTGTGAACTTGAGCATGTATTTGCTCAGGTAAGGCGTGAACACCCGCACGATGCTCAGGTACATGTGCAGAGCTTCCAACCCGGCCCAGGTAAACGACGTCAGCAGAAAGTAGTGCAAGAAGAAGGCGGTGCTGATACACAGCCCGATCGCCGGGTAGAGCGCCAGCCAGCCGTCCAATAAGAACACCAGGTTGAGGAGGAGGAGGGACAAGCAGAGCTGCACCAGGATCTTGGCCGGAATGTCTCGCAGCAGTTTCCTGCAATGACAGTTTTTAAAGAAAATGCTCGGACGGGAAATTAGGGTATATCTGTAGAAGAGAAGGATTCTTACACAAATGAAAGGTACGTCAGTAAAGTGATGGAAAGAAAAATAGCCGAGATTCCGCAGCCGATGTAGGAGATGAACGTTAGAATTTGTGCGTGCTCACGATCGGTTATTCCTTCTCTGGACAAGTCCTGCATGGAGGACGGGATACAGACACATATATACAAACAGTGAACACATGTACAAATTTAGACAGTTTCTTACTTCAAACATAAAGTTGGATCACTTATTTTGGTACCTGCAATGTTCAAGTTCATTGGTTTGTTTAATTACTGTATAAATGCTGATTTGAACCAAATTTTAAAAGCATTAAACGCTGACCATCAGTATTGCAAATGCCGTGAGATGGTTGCAGCTGCAAATTGTTTCCTCCGATGTGGTGTTGACAACAAAGCAGCCGGCAGAGCTCCAGCCTCCATTTCCACCTGAACCAGAAAACACATAAAAACAGGGATGTTCACACGTGAGGCAATTCAACCAACTCCATGAGGCATAAGTGTCCAGTACTCACCATTCCGACTGAAGTCCCAAAATACGCAGGAGGCCACAAAGTTTCCCTGTGAACCAAAGAAAAACGTTTGAATCCTCTCTTCTAGCTGCTATTTCACAATTAACCTTTTATTTTGAAAAGTTACCGTTGTTTTTGAACTGTCGTGGAATAAATGGGTTCATGACAATAAACCACTCACATTTACAGGGTTGATATTTTGGATGGTAAACCGAATGTCCTCACTCAAGTTGCTTATTGACAAATTGGCAACACTGGAGCCCAGAACTGGACTGACGAAGGTTGTGTTGTCTAATGCTGAGTCCTGCAGAGGAAAGAGAGGAATGGAATCAGTTTAAGGAATACAGAATATTCACATTTCTTCATATTTGAGTAAGATAACTGCTCTGATATCAAATATAATTTTAATGCAGCCTAAAAATAAATGTTGGATCTGAAGAAAAATAACAATTTAGAAATGACTGATGGCAAATCTGGATGTGACGGTGGTAAAGTACCTGGAAAAAGACGCTTTTAGTGTAAAAGGTGAATTGGACCCTGCTGGCCTGTTGTTGCTGCTCAGGACTGAGACCTGACGTCAGGGTGGAGGGCAAGAAAACAGAACCCAGAGCAGAACCGGACCTCTTAGACCTGGACCTGCTGAGACCACGGAGCTGTAAAAAACCAAAAGGTTAACAAAGGATTACTGCAATTATAGGATAATGTAAGATGATAAATAATTTATCAGACCCACAATGGGGACATCTGCAGGCAGCAATGGGGATTGTAAGGAAACATCAGTTAAAAAGTAATAAATAAGTAAACATGCATATAAATATATGGTAATGAAATAGCATACATTTTAAATAGGATGGTCAATAGCAAGTGAGAGTCCATATTAGGACGTTAATATAGTCTATAGGTACATTTGTACTGAAGATCATTGATTTCAACTTTTTTGTGGAGTTCTTTTTTTTGTTCTGTGTTTGCTGTGGAAGAAAATCCTGAACGTGTGCTACCTGGACATTATCAGTGTTGAAGATGTCGACAGATGTTGCGGGGAAGTTGGTTCCGTCCACCGTCCTGATCGCCAGGACCAGCGACTCTGACGAGATGATCCCTCGGTCGCCGCTGACGGCCAGCTTCAGAGCCACGGTGTCCACGACTCCAATCAGCCTGTCGACACGATACATTTGTAGAAAACCTGCGTTCATGTACAGTGAAAGTCACTGAGGGTTTATTTATTTATTGTGATTTTTACCTGTTGGCCGACCCAGAGAGGGCCCCAGCGTCGCCCTCCATCAAGTTGCTGATGATGTTGATGGCTTTTTGTCCCACGGACTGAGAGACAGAGGGGCCTTCCAGCAGCTTCTCCAACTGCCCCACTATTTGCTCCACCTGCAACATCCATGAGATTATTTTAACGGCTCAATGAGCGTTACACTCCCTCCCACTTTTTTAAACATAACAAAAATATATAGATTTTTTTTCCCAATGTAATGATGCCAACAAAACGGCAGTAGTATGTTTAACAATCCAAAAACACGTAAGAATTTCAGTAGCTTCACCTGAGAGGAGCTGAGCTTGGACGCATCCTGAGTTTGATTCAGCAGCTCGTTCACCTGCTCCTCCTTTGCCTCTTGGCTCAACGTAGCAGTACTGCTAGTTGTTGCAGTACTGCTAGTTGCTGCAGTAGTAAATGAAGTTTTAGAAGTAGTAGTTTTAGTTATCGGAGAAGTGGTTGTGGATGAAGTTGTGGCTAAAAGCGCCAGTGAAGTAATAACTGGGTTTTTTGTTGTTTGGTTGACATCGGTAGTTAAACTGCTTGTAGTCGTGTTCTGGTTGTAGCTTGTTCCCGTAGTAACGTTGTGAGTGACAGCTGGTTCCAAGCTGGTGGCAGTTGTTGTGGAGTTGTTGTAAGTCTTTGCAGATGATGTGATGTTTTGGGTCGTACTTGCTGTGTTCTGATTTGCTGTTTGGTTTTTCAGTGGATATGCTGTGGTTGTCGTGCTGTTGTCGACAACAGAAGTGTTGTTGTTCATGGTCAAGTTTATTGTCATTGTTGTTACATTGTTAAGAGTTTCGTTAACTTGTGAAGTTGTGTGAGTCACATTTGTGTTCTGTGGTGTTTCCGTGATGGGTGCAACTGTTACATTTAAAGAAACAGTAGTAGTTGTAATATTCTCTATTGTTGTGTAGTTGTTTGAGACAGTAGTTACGTTGTTTACTGTTGTGTAATTTGGAGAACGTGTAAATGTGCTCACTGTTGTATTGCTTGTTGGGATTGTGCCATTGTGTAGGTTCCTACTCTCAACTGTAGTTACATTATACTCTGTTGTGTAATTGTTAGAGGCTGTTGTGTGATTGTTGGAGGCTGTTGTATTATTTGTTGTGTAATTTTGAGATGCAGTTGTGTAATTGTTGGAGGCTGTTGTATTATTTGTTGTGATTGTGCCATTGTTGAAGTTCCTGTTCCCAGCTGTTGTTACATTGTATCCTGTTGTGTAATTGTTGGCTGCTGTAGTTATGTTATACTCTGTTGTGTGACTTGTTGTGTAGTTGTTGGATGCTGTAGTTACACTGTAATTTGTTGTGTAATTGTTGGCGGCTGTAGTTACATTGTAGTCAGTTGTGTTATTTGTTGTGTAGATGTTAGAGGCTGTTGTGTAATTGTTGGTAGGTGTAGTTACATTGTGTTCTGTTGTGTAATTGGTAGAGGCAGTTGTGTAACTGATGGCGGATGTAGTAACATTGTACTCTGTTGTGTAATTATTAGAGGCTGTTGTATAATTGTTGATGGGTGTAGTTACATTGTACTCTGTAGAGTAATTGGTAGAAGCTGTTGTATTATTTGTTGTGTAGATGTTGGAGGCTGTTGTGTAATTGTTGGTTGGTTTAGTTAGATTGTACTCTGTTGTGTAATTGTTGGTGGGTGTAGTTAGATTGTACTCTGTTGTGTAATTATTAGAGGCTGTTGTGTAATTGTTGGGTGTTGTTGTTACGTTTTTCTCTGTTGTGTAATTGTTGGGTGTTGTTGTTACGTTTTTCTCTGTTGTGTAATTGTTAGAAGCTGTTGTATTATTTGTTGTGTAGATGTTAGAGGCTGTTGTAATATTTGTTGTGTAGATGTTGGAGGCTGTTGTGTAGTTGTTGGTGGGTGTAGTTACATTGTTCTCTGTTGTGTAATTGTTAGAAGCTGTTGTAATATTTGTTGTGTAGAT